TGATAGAAACCAACGTTGTCAACCGGTGTAGCCAGTTGATCCGGTCGAGCAAGTAGGTTGAGGATTAATCGTCCAATCGTTGTAGTCTGATTTAACTTAGATATATGAAAAAGTCATATATTTTTCATAAATTTATAAATTATGTCAAATAATCTAGTAATAGAATACAACATTACACCAAAATAACAAGTCGTACTTAAATCCAACATATAGTGAATTTTCAATTTTTCACACATTTATATAACATCAATATTCAAATGTTCAACTTAGAATTTCAAATAATGAATTAGGAGAAAAGAAAAATAAAAAATAGTCACACTTCACAAACCAAAGAAAACAAAGAACACAATTTGACCTTCAACCCAATATCATGCAGTGGTTGACCTGGCGGATATGTTTTTCTCTAATTTTAGCAATTTTGTTTTCTTTTGGGTTGGGCTTTCTTTAATTTTAGCAATTTTGTTTTCTTTTGGGTTGGACGGAATCTTTAGCGGCCGCGCAGAATGAACATTGAAGGTATCGCAGGGGGAGGAGTTTTTAAATATCTAAAATTCTTAAGTGTTGCAACCAACCATGCAACCAATTTGGTTTTTTTTTTTGTTGGTAAATGGATGCAGCGCATCTCAGCTTTCATTCACAACCCAACGGGACTCAGAGAGTCCTTGACAATCGTACATGAGAAAATTACATAACCCAGAATCAGAATCTGACACATCGTGAAACCCCAAGGGAAGAGTGTGACCCCTACTAGCCAAATAGTCCGCGCATTTATTTCCCTCTCTGTAGATATGGGAGATCGAGACTACCTAGTCTCGAGAAAGAAGATCCTGAAAACGGCCAATAATAGCGGCCTCATGATGATTCATCGCCTCACAACTCCGAAGTAGCTGAATCGCACATCTGGAATCAAGTTCCATGTGAACGCTTCGATGGCCGTTGTCCCAAGCCAACTGAAGTCCTTCAACAACGCCTCTCAATTCTGCTAGGGTGATAGAGCAAATCCCCAAGTTAAGCGCAAACGCTGCAGTGCAGCGTCCTGTGTGAACTCGAATCAGGCCACCAGCCGCCTCATGGCATGAGTCAGGAAGGACGGAGCCATCTGAATTGAGAGTGACCCACTCTAGAGGTGGAGGCTTCCAAGAGATCTCCACCTCCGTTCTTATGGGCAAACTAGGCGAAAGAACAAGCCTGTCTTTGTCCATGGCATTCCGCACGACATTTATCCATGCCAGGACGCGCTGTAGAAAAAGTTCAGTTGTGATGACTTTGCCTGCGAAGACTCTGTCATTCCTGGTCCGCCAGAGGGACCAGCAGATAATGCTGAACTCAAGGCTAGACTGCGCATCACGAACATTGTCAAGAATCCACCCTTGTAAAGGCCTCCTGAAGAAGTCTGGTCGATCATAAAGCTGAGGGAGCTGCATCCTAGTAAACCTGGAAAAAGGCAGTCCCACAACACATGCAGGACTGATTCGGTCGGGTCTCCGCACTGTTGACATCCCTACAAGCTGGTAAGGTGACGTCGCGAACGCTCCTGGTTAGTGAGTAGGCGATCTCGGACAGCCAGCCACATGAAATTATTGACCCGGGCGGGGCCTTTCCAACGCCAGATCAGGCGCCAGTCCACTCATGCATGTTGTTCAAAGTCCCCTGTGGCGACATCATAAGCCGACCAAACTCGGAACCGTCCGTCCAATTCCGGCCCCCAAGTAGCTGAGTCCTCGCCAGAGCCGGGTATGGGTGGCTGAATACTCAGAACCTACAAAATAGCCTCCTCAGGTAAAAAGAATGGAATTTAGGGATGTCCCACTCACCATCCAAATTTCCAAAGTCAGCCACCGGGATGGATGGATCTATTGCCAGCCCATCCACGTTAATTGCATCCAGCAAAACCTCTCCACTGTCGAGCCATCGATCTATCCAGAACGACGTACTTTGTCCATCCTGGATGCTCATCTTCATTCCTGTGGACATGATTGGCCAAGCTTTTCGGATTCCCAGCCAAACTGTCGAGATTCTTCCTGAGGATTTAGCCACCAACACGCCATTCACCTGATTGAAATAATTAGCCTGTAACACACGAACCCACAACTCGTCAGGTTTCTTAAAACCTATCACTCTATTTAAGTCGTCACAAAAATTAGGTAATTGGTTAAGGCTACCTACCTCGTTTAGTTTTTAGCGACCATTAAATTAGGGTACAAACCCAGTCTTTTATCCATAAGACCCCACTTATTATTTTTAAGTGACCAAAAATATTGACAGAAATTTCTCATCACACCCAATGATAGAATTTTGGGCTTTATACAAGCTACCTCAACACACACTTTGACCCACCAAACACCCACTTGTCATACAAGAGGGGTCAAGCGCCAAGTGTTGACACCCTTCAACATCAACCACCCAGCATGGTGGAGGCAAAATTTTGGCCAAGTGCGAGAACCAACTAGTGCCCCTAGGCGTGATGGCGAAAGAACAAGCCTGTCTTTGTCCATGGCATTCCGCACGACATTTATCCATGCCAGGACGCGCTGTAGAAAAAGTTCAGTTGTGATGACTTTGCCTGCGAAGACTCTGTCATTCCTGGTCCGCCAGAGGGACCAGCAGATAATGCTGAACTCAAGGCTAGACTGCGCATCACGAACATTGTCAAGAATCCACCCTTGTAAAGGCCTCCTGAAGAAGTCTGGTCGATCATAAAGCTGAGGGAGCTGCATCCTAGTAAACCTGGAAAAAGGCAGTCCCACAACACATGCAGGACTGATTCGGTCGGGTCTCCGCACTGTTGACATCCCTACAAGCTGGTAAGGTGACGTCGCGAACGCTCCTGGTTAGTGAGTAGGCGATCTCGGACAGCCAGCCACATGATATTATTGACCCGGGCGGGGCCTTTCCAACGCCAGATCAGGCGCCAGTCCACTCATGCATGTTGTTCAAATTCCCTGTGGCGACATCATAAGCCGACCAAACTCGGAACCGTCCGTCCACTTCCGGTCCCCAAGTAGCTGAGTCCTCGCCAGAGCCGGGTATGGGTGGCTGAATACTCAGAACCTACAAAATAGCCTCCTCAGGTAAAAAGAATGGAATTTAGGGATGTCCCACTCACCATCCAACTTTCCAAAGTCAGCCACCGGGATGGATGGATCTATTGCCAACCCATCCACGTTAATTGCATCCAGCAAAACCTCTCCACTGTCGAGCCATCGATCTATCCAGAACGACGTACTTTGTCCATCCTGGATGCTCATCTTCATTCCTGTGGACATGATTGGCCAAGCTTTTCGGATTCCCAGCCAAACTGTCGAGATTCTTCCTGAGGATTTAGCCACCAACACGCCATTCACCTGATTGAAATAATTAGCCTGTAACACACGAACCCACAACTCGTCAGGTTTCTTAAAACTAATCACTCTATTTAAGTCGTCACAAAAATTAGGTAATTGGTTAAGGCTACCTATCTCGTTTAGTTTTTAGCGACCATTAAATTAGGGTACAAACCCCGTCTTTTATCCATAAGACCCCACTTATTATTTTTAAGTGATCAAAAATATTGGCAGAAATTTCTCATCACACCCAATGATAGAATTTTGGGCTTTATACAAGCTACCTCAACACACACTTTGACCCACCAAACACCCACTTGTCATACAAGAGGGGTCAAGCGCGAAGTGTTGACACCCTTCAACATCAACCACCCAGCATGGTGGAGGCAAAATTTTGGCCAAGTGCGAGAACCAACTAGTGCCCCTAGACGTGATGGGGAAAGAAGGCAAAAATTGGCTAAGTGTGGAGACCCAATCATAATGGGGGTGTCCTGCAAGGGGAGTCAAGCACCAAGTATCATGGCCGCCTACCTATCTAGCACTCGGATATCAAGCATGATGTCGTGCAAAGAGGGTGATATCTTGTGTTATTAAAACTAGAATTTTGGGCATTATACAAGCTACCTCAACACACACTTTGACCCACCAAACACCTTCTTGTCATACAAGAGGGGTCAAGCGCCAAGTGTTGACACCTTTCAACATCAACCACCCAGCATGGTGGAGGCAAAATTTTGGCCAAGTGTTAGAACCAACTAGTGCCCCTAGACGTGATGTGGAAAGAAGGAAAAAATTGGCTAAGTGTGGAGACCCAATCATAATGGGGGTGTCAGGCAAGGGGAGTCAAGCACCAAGTATCATGGCCGCCTACCTACCTTGCCCTCGGATATCAAGCATGATGTCGTGCAAAGAGGGTGATATCCTGTGTTATTAAAACTAGAATTTTGGGCTTTATACAAGCTACCTCTACACACACTTTGACCCACCAAACACCCACTCGTCATACAAGAGGGGTCAAGCGCCAAGTGTTGACACCCTTCAACATCAACCACCCAGCATGGTGGAGGCAAAATTTTGGCAAAGTGTGAGAACCAATTAGTGCCCCTAGACGTGATGGGGAAAGAAGGCAAAAATTGGCTAAGTGTGGAGACCCAATCATAATGGGGTGTCATTCAAGGGGAGTCAAGCACCAAATATCATGGCCGCCTACCTACCCTGCACTCGGATATGAAGCATGATGTCGTGCAATGAGGGTGATATCTTGTGTTATTAAAACTAAATCGGACCGGTCGATCGGACCGAATAAAACCGGACCCGGGCACAAGTCCAGTCCCAAAAGCCTAAAAACGGGCGGGCTAGGAAAAAATAAACTACCGCCTCCATTTTTTCATACTTTTAATAAATAAATAAATAAATAATAATGAGACAAGGCAACAGAAAGAATGCGAAGTTATGGCTACGGCGCTACCTTACTCCCTACTGTCACCGATGTGCTAGGGAAAAGTAAACAACCTCCTACATTTTTTTCAGGATCGTGATGGTCCCTAAAATACTTCGTCAACCAAGTGATTGATACTTGGCCTTTCCTCAATGGTGGCAAGCAATCCGTCGCATCAACGCTCTCCTTGGTTGGTACTTTCACCCCCAAAACACTGTGGATGAAATACTGCCAACCGGTCATACCGTCACACGATCCTCGGGGGGATGATCACTCACCCACACCGCTTTGCCGTCGATAGGCAGATGAGTTAGGATGGCTATGTCCTTGAGTGTGATGGTGCACTCTCCTTGGCGAAAGTTGAAACAATGTGTCTCCTTTCTCAATCTCTCCACCAATGCGGTAATGAGTTGGCGATCGACTTTTATGCCTACAAAATGCCTAATCGACTCCAACCGTGCCCTTTTGAGATAGGGGAAGATAACTGGGTTCCATGAGAGCACATTGGTCGTACCCCTATAGCGGAGTATTTGTTGTGCCTTCTATAAAAATTTCAACGTTATTTATGATATATTAGTAACAGTTTAGTCTTATAACTAAATAAATTAAAATTAATGATTTAATTTCAACCATTATTAAAATTATTTATGATATATTATTAATAGTTTAGTCTTATAAATAAATTAATTAAAATTAATGATTTAATTTCGAATATAATTCTATTATAATTATATTATTAACAAGCACCAAGTATCATGGCCGCCTACCTACCTTGCACTCGGATATCAAGCATGATGTCGTGCAAAGAGGGTGATATCTTGTGTTATTAAAACTAGAATTTTGGGCTTTATACAAGCTACCTCAACACCCACTTGTCATACAAGAGGGGTCAAGCGCCAAGAGTTGACACCCTTCAACATCAACCACCCAACATGGTGGAGGCAAAAATTTTGCCAAGTGTGAGAACCAACTAGTGCCCCTAGACGTGATGGGGAAAGAAGGCGAAAATTGGCTAAGTGTGGAGACCCAATCATAATGTGGGTATCATGCAAGGGGAGTCAAGCACCAAGTATCATGGTCGCCTACCTACCTTGCACTCGGATATCAAGCATGATGTCGTGTAAAGAGGGTGCCTATGTAATCGCTGATGTAGGTTCCTCCGTCTCCAAGTATAGCGGGGACCAGAAAAACCCACATTGATGAGCCCACAGTCCTAGACACACTGCTGAAAAGGTCTAGCTCTCGTTTCGTTGAACTGTGCTCCTCCCATACGGTCATGCGGGCTTAGAATAGCGTTAAAATCTCCAATGATTACCCAAGGCAAACTTGCTGTATCAGAAAGCCTTCGGATTTCCGCCCAAAGATCAGCCCTCTTGGAAGCGTTAGGGCTTCCATAAACTGCTGAAACGAGTACATCCGAGCTGGGAGCACTCTGTCGAGAGCACCTGAAATGAATCATCTGCTCCCACTGGTACACAGAAGTGACACTGATGGTGTGGGTCTGCCAAAGCACCCAAATCCCTCCAGAGAAACCTACAGCATCCACAACCAGGAAACCATCAAAACCAGTACGCAAAATAACCTGTTCCGCCGTTACCCCGCTGATATGGGGTTCCATGATAATCACGATATCCGGGCTATATGACCGGCAAAAATCCAACAAAAAGGTAATGAAATGCTCGTTCCCTACCCCTTGGCAGTTCCAAGAAAAAATGTCTAACATAATAAAAAAGAGTATAAAGGGAAAGAGACTCCTCCAAGGAACCAGCAAGCCGAAGCTCAAGTGGGAAACCCCTGGAGAGCCGAATTCTCCCCATTCATCACCTGCACACCAACTGGCTTGTAACCCCCTGTTGGTCTCGTAGAATGAAGGAAAACAAAAAACAAAAAATAGTCACACTTCACAAATAATGAATTAGACGAAAAAAAAAATTAAAAAATAGTCACACTTAACAAATCAAAGAAAACAAAGAACACAATTTGACCTTCAACCCAATATCATGCCGTGGTTGACCTGGCGGATATGTATTTCTCTAATTTTAGCAATTTTTTTTTCTTTTGGGTTGCGCTTTCATTAGTTTTAGCAATTTTGTTTTCTTTTGGGTTGGGCGGAATCTTTAGCGGCCGCGCAGAATGAACATTGAAGGTATAGCAGGGGGAGGAGGTTTTAAATGTCTAAAATTCTTAAGTGTTGCAACCAACCATGCAACCAAATGGAAATTGTTTTTTTTTTTTCTCCTTCTATATAAATGAACAAATGTAATTTCTTATTAATATAAATGATAATTAGAGTGTACACTAAAACAAGAATTATCACCAGAGCTTAGTTTGCATCTTATAATACTTATCTGGAAATATCATACATGAAAACTAATATTATACATCTAATAATACTTACTAGCCCTAAAGCTCGCATTGTGCGGCATGCCATAAATAAGTAATTTGGCATTAGTAATAGATAGTGATGCCATCCAATGTAGGAAGAGAGTAGTCCAACTTCATATTATCATTGCCTTCTTCGGCTCCTTTGGTCATGGTTTCGTTCTGTTACTGCTCACGTGAGGGTCTATGCAAGGTCCTCTTTATCTTCAAATCAAAGGAGAATTCTGGAGGATGACCTCTTCGCATAAACTACTATTGACATAGAAGCAAAGACAAGCACATCCACGAAGTATGAAGGAAACACAAACAGAAACAAAAGCACAATGGTTAAAGTAATAAAATAAAACCGTTCCTTATATCATAATCCCAGCAATGACACCAAGAGCTTTATCGCCTTTTCAAAGTGTGACTATTAAAGCAAGTGTACCTATTGTAGACGCAATATATACTACAAGAAAATGGTCATTTAATCACGGGGATATCCCGTGTTTAAAAGCATGTTTCCCGTGATAAATAATTTTAGTCACGGGAAAATTACCGTAATATAAAGCTTCGCGACTAATCGCTTCCCGTGACTAGATGCCGATCACTAGTCACGGTATTTACTGCTTGTAGTGATTGGGTCCACCATGATTAAATACTAATCACTAGTCACAGTATTTAACTAAAGCTAATTACAACCACTAGTCACGGTATTTTTCTATGACTAATTACAATATCTATATAACAAGATTAATTATGGATTTTTTATTACTAATTACAAAAACGTGTATTTAATTCTCTGCCACAAAGTAACAAAAAATAATATTACTATAAAAAATCTCAAATCTTGTAGTAAATAATTCAATAATGTTACAATATTGAATTACAATATCTATATAACAAGATTAATTATGGATTTTTTATTACTAATTACAAAAACGTGTATTTAATTCTCTGCCACAAAGTAACAACAAAATAATATTACTATAAAAAATCTCAAATCTTGTAGTAAATAATTCAATAATGTTACAATATTGAATTACAATATCTATATAACAAGATTAATTATGGATTTTTTATTACTAATTACAAAACCGTGTATTTAATTCTCTGCCACAAAGTAACAACAAAATAATATTACTATAAAAAATCTCAAATCTTGTAGTAAATAATTCAATAATGTTACAATATTGAATTACAATATCTATATAACAAGATTAATTATGGATTTTTTATTACTAATTACAAAAACGTGTATTTAATTCTCTGCCACAAAGTAACAACAAAATAATATTACTATAAAAAATCTCAAATCTTGTAGTAAATAATTCAATAATGTTACAATCTATATCATGGTAATAACTGGTTCTCTTCAATATGCTAACTAATTATTAATTCTATGGTATTAAATTCAACATCAAGATTGTCTATCAAGAGTTAACTTTCAAAATTTCTTCCTTCTAGCAAAAAAAAAAGTGAACTCCGTCTGTGGCATCTTGCACTGTTGTATCTGCCATGAACAACAATTAAAATTTCAGTACTCAATGACAAGTCAGTTGAACCCAAATTCAACATAACATGAATAAAGAAGCTGGAAACTTAAAGAGGAACTTAAAAAGACTTTACCCAAATGCCTTTTTCTCAAGGTAAGAACTACGTATACACTTCATAGCCCCTAAAGCGTTGCTTCTATTCTAGTTGTTCCTACAAATTGAATCATCAAGCTAGTTACCAACCACACTGCAAGCCCAGAAAAATTAAAGCCGAATCAATCCATAGACATACATAATCAATTGCTTTGACATATTTGTTGTTGCTGTTAGTGCTTAATACAATCCAATGAACATACTCTTAAAAGCAGCAAACTTGTTTTTAACTTTAATGATCACTAACCTTGTAACTTCTTTGTCTCACAATTTGGCGGATTGGATAAACAAAGATCAACCATTCAACCACGAAAGAAAGAACAAACAGAACAAGCACCACGATGGAATGCCTCTGCTGCATCAACTACTTCTGGCCCTCATGCTGCCAAAACAAACATTCACTGCTGCTGCTAGAGGCAAACTCGTCCCCAAACTAACATTCAAGTAGTTGCACTTTGCACAATTCTATACACTTAAAATAGAATTCTATACACAATTCTATCCAAAATTGTACCCACCTATTCACCCTGCTTGGCACTCAGCAAAAATACCCTCTATACACCAAATTCTACACATTCAACCTGTTCAAACAAGCTGCCTGAAAAACAGTCAGAGTTGAGCATGAATATAAAAAATATAGCTAGCCTAGTAATAGCTTCCTGAAAAAAGTAATAGGTAAATCTGCTTTTCTCATCATTGCAACAAGCCTCCGAAAGAAAACTAAACTAGTTCTTCTTCAGTTTGTTTGCACCTTAGAATGTTGCTACAAAATACTAAATGCTATACAAGCTCATGACAAGAAGAATCATAGAAGGTAAAAAGGAGAGTGTGGGAAAACCAAGACAAAATCAAATAATCCAGTCCCCAAATTTGCTAATTTGTGCAAGTCTCAATCAATGGACATGAAAGCATTTGAAGGTACCTGCTTTGCTCTATCACATTGTTCTTCCCAATTCAATTGGGTCCAACCACTGCAGAGAAACTCTGAAAATCATATCTGACCCCTCTTTTCTGTTGTGGTCTTTTAGAACCCTTTTAAGATTTTAGAGCTCAATAAAACAAATCAGCAAGAAGTTTAAATCCAAATCTGGTCTTAGTTATTTATATCTTAATCAACCAGAAAGGAAATAAGTGGAGCAAAGAAAACCATGAGTTTAGAATTAGAATCATCCAAAATTTCATAATCTAGGAGAGGAAGGAAAGTGAATCAGTGAAGGGGCTGCATCTAGAGAGAGTGTTAAGACGGTAATGACGACATAAGAATAAGCATGGGACCTTTTCCTTATGGATACAATCAGCATAACAAGAACATGGAACCAGGTGTAGAGAGAACATTACTTAAAGTGTTCTTTCATACACAACTTCCATCATTCAACAGCATAAGATCGGATTTTAGTCCCAAGATTGATAGTTAACAAAGAAGAATACAAATGGGT